GCAGGAATTAATTATCTTTCTTCCACATTAAGGGATGAGCAATTTTACACCTACCCGGTTCTGTCTTAGATACCCTATTTTCTTTCTCTAACTTTAACTAAACCATCTTATATAACTGCTTGAGCTGTTAATCTGAATCTTCATAATGTACAGAAGCTTATACTTGATCTCTTTCTTACAGATTACAGCAAAAGCGACATGGGAGAGTGAAAACGTGGACCCGGCATGTAGATATTTTTGAGAAGGATTTTATTTTTGTACCCCTTAATGAAGCGTGAGTAAGAATTTTCTTTATGTAAATAATGATAGCTTTTTTTTTTTTTTTTTTAATGTGTTCATGAGGAGAAGAATTTATTTTAAAACTTCTTTCTGGGGGCTGGCAGGTGGTGTGGTGGTTAAGGGACCTGGACTTCCACATGGCCAACCACTGAGTCCCAGATCTGGCAGCTTGCTTTCTCACTTTCTCACTCTTGCTCTGTCCATTTCTGCTCAAATTTTAAAAAATAAAGTTAAATAAAATAATTATTAAAAAAGAACTTCCTTCTGAAGTTTGTTTTATATATATATATATATTCATATTTGTGCTGCCTATTTTACAAAAATTAATGCCATTTCCTAGTGAATCCAGTGCAGTACTGAATTTTGCAAACACTAAACCAGAAACTTCTTTAATTTCCTTTATCAGTCAATATGGAATATTATTTTCAAAAATGTTGTTGCTAGTTATCTAGCAAATATCCTGTAAGAAATATTACTTTATAAAAACAATTAGTTCAGGGACCAGCAGTTAGCGTAATGGCTATGTCGCTGGACTCCCACGTAGTCGACCGCGGTTCGATTCCCAGACCCGGTGGCTTAAACTCATGCCGGGCGCGTGTGCGTGCATTCCCAAGATCCCGAGAGGAGAATGGAGAAGAAGGGATTGCGGCGTGGCCACCCCCCCTGGGGGGTGATTTCCTGCTTTCTGTCTCTCTGTCTCTCTGGCAAGCGCACGCGCCCTATAGCAAAAAACCTCTCAAAAAAAAAAAAACAATTAGTTCACACAGAGCATTTGAATCTTCAGTTTAAAATGCCCCTTTTATCTTAACCAAAAAGGAGAAAATGTGATTGTATTTATTTGTTCAAATTGAAAACTATACTACTTGAAACAGTTCCCTAAGTAAATACAAGTGTTTAAATATTTTTTAGTATTCTCTTTCCTGGACTATAGAGGCATTGATGTGTAAGATAGTATTAAGACTTGAGAGGTTTTTGCATTCTCATGTTTTTGGTTTTCCTGTGCCCTATAGTCTCTGTAGTCAAGGACTACAAAAGAGGAGATGCTTGGTATTCTGTAGGTTGTACTATGAGGTTGTGTTTTCATTGCTTAGACAAATAATGAATGGCCTTTGTCTCATTTTATCACGGTTGGAGAGTAACCTTGTCTGAGGTTGGTATTCCGTGAGATTGTTTATGTCTAATAAAGTGTAGCTATGCCAGCCTAGTGTCGGAATTTTTTTTTTTCCCCTCTCATGAAAAATTCACTCTATAATATTATAGCCAAAGTATTTATTTAAAATCATGTTTTAAGTACAAGACCTATGTTCTATAATTAGCCAAATCAAAAATAGGCTATGTCAAAACATTGGTTCTAGCCCAAGCAGAACATCTTTAAAGCTTTATATTTTTGAAAATATCATAATAAAATATTGTAACAAAATATAAAACTAAATTTAAAACCAGTTAAACTTTAATTTCTTCATTTGATGCTAATTTATCATATTAAGTAACTTTTTTTTCTTTTGGAGAGGTTCTTGCCATAGGGTGCGTGCCCTCGCCAGTCAGACAGAGAGAGACAGAGAGACAGAAAGCGAGAAACCACCTCCCAAGGGGGATGGCCATGCCGCAATCCCTTCTCCATTCTCCTCTTGGGATCTTGAGCACGCACGCACACACGCCCGGCGTGAGTTTTAAGCCACCGGGTCCGGAACTCGCACCGCGGTCAACTACATGGGAGTCCAGTGACATAGCCATTACACTAACTGCCTGGTCCCTCATATTAAGTAACTTTTAAGCTGAAAAGGAGGAAAGCCATTTATCACAAATGAGTTATAAAATTTTTAAATACAAAAACTTTTTAAAAATTTTAATAGAGATATAATTTGAGATCCACATAATTTAGGGATAGAAGTACATCCTTCTAAGTCCCTCTTTTGCAAGTAGAAGATAGTACCAATGCTTCCATTCATCTTGGTGAAAGGTAGAGAATAAAAAAAGATGTAGAGCCTGTAAAGGATGTTGTAAGAGACTGTTCCATAAGTATGTGGAAAAATAGCATTCAAATCAAGAAAGCTTTTTTTGTTTTTGTCTTTGAAGAGATAAAGCCACAAATATCTATGTCACTATTATATTAGATAAACTGCCATGAATTTTATCTATTTTTAATTTTTCTGTATAGTGTTGTAATTGTCTTTAAATATGTTTATATGCTCTTTGTTAGAAATTGTTACAGTAATCACCAAGGAGCACAAATTTGGTATTTAGATTGACTTTATCTGAAGATAAATAAATTTACCTATTTTAGCTTCATCCCTCACAGGTGATTTACGATTAATATGATTTCTATTAAGAGGGATCATATAGGGCCACCAGGTAGTGTGGTGGTCAAGATGCTGGATTTCCACTTGGTGGACCATTGTTCAAGTCCTGGACCTGTGCTTGAAAATCACAGATAGATAAATAAATGTTTGGGGGGAGGGATCATAGAAACAAAACTCTAGCTCTTAAAAGTTGGAAACAACCATCTAACTTTTTCTTTTCACCCAGGCCAGGAAAAAATAGATATATTTTTTCTTTATATATGAGGCAATAGAAAATTTGTAGCTTATCCATATTGGTATAACTAAGGAATGTTGAAAAACAGTTACAGGTTTAGATTGTGCTTATAGGTTGAGAGTCACTATTATACCATATTTCATCAATTTTTAAAGCACTAATTTTTATATTTTAATATTTCCAAAATTGAGATGTGATTTGCAGTCAGCTGTGTCTTAAGAGTTGATAAATGAGGAAGTTGGTGTGTTCTTTCTACTACTCTAATCTGACCTAAATTCATAAATTACTAAGGATTAATAATTAACAGCAGGAGAGGGGCATTCTTCCATCTGGCCTTTACAATACTGAAGATGAAGGCAGCCTTTATGACCTTTCCACTAGATGTTGTCTTATGAAAAGATAGTGCTATTTCTTAGTGCTACTTTGGGATAATGTAACATTTTGAAGAATGTATGTTATCTTGTAATCCATGTCAAGTTACTTGTTTTCCACTAATAGTGCTGTTTCTTAGTATACCTTTGGATAATCTATTATTTTGTAGAAATTAGAATGTAGAATATTTTGTATTCCGTGTCAAGTTTTCGTTCAGCAAATATTTATCAAACACAGACTATGTAACAAATACTGTGCTTGGCTAATTATATTTATAGCCTATTCATTGTATCCCAGCGTATAGCACCACGGCAAATGGTAGACATATAGCACATAGCACCTAATGGTAGTAGCATCTAGCACCTAGCAAATAGGCCCTTCGAAAACAAATTTTGATGGGGGCCAGCAGGTGGCATAGTGGTTAAGGCACTAAACTCCCACATGGTCAGTTGTGATTTGAGTCCCAGACCCAGCTGCTTAAAACTCACGCTGTGCACGTGTACATGCACGGCCAGAATCATGAGAGGAAAATGGAGGAGAAGGGATCGAGGCATGTCCATCCCAGAGGGATGATTTCTTGCTTTCAGTCTCTCTCTGGTGAGCGCATGTGCCCTATAACAAAAATCTCTCTCAAAAAAAATTGATGAATATTAGTCAAGACTGGAACTTCTTTCTCATGGTCTATACTCTCTTTTGAGAACTGTAATACCTGAGTTCAGCTGTTTCATTAGCCACTTCCTTGATAGCTGGAAGTCTACTAATACATGAGGTTCTGCACAAATAACTAGATTGACTATGCTGTTTCCTTTTCATGTGTTTTATATTTCATGAGACAAAGAATTACTTGCATATGCATGTTCAATATTAGGCCTTTCCTACCAAAATTTTAAAGTATTTATTAATTTGTTCTTTCCTTTTGCTTAAGAGAGAGACAGAGAGATAGGCACTCCCAACAGGACCTTCACACAGTGATTCATTCCCAGTCTCAGCCATCCTGGGTCACGGGCACCTTTCCATGCCCTGCATGCTCTCGGAGGTCCTGGGATACAAACCCAGGACCTTTCTCATATGGCTCCAGTTTTGTTTACCACTGTATCACTACCTGTCCCCTACCTTATTAGTAATAAATACACAGCATGGTAGAAGGGTTGTTTTTTTTTTAACTGTATATATAATATTTAAGAAGCATTGAAAATTATAATCTAATTAGACTTCTGAAGGCATTTTAATCATAAAATTGAATATTTTTCTGTTATTTTACATAAAGAGGATTTCTATTGAATAGGAATTATGAACAGCTAAGTGACATAATTGCTTGAAAAAGCCATGACCTTCTCATTGTAAAGACAAAACGGGCGAAGGATTATTTGCAAAAGAGAATCAGGTTACATATTCCTAACAAAAAATTATGTTATTTTTGAATGGACATTGTATTCGGTGAATGAAGATGTTCTGTGGTGATCATATAAATCAGTGGATTAATTTGATCATTTAAAAAAGGACATCCTTTATAAATTTGTTCACAGAAACTTTAGCAGAAAAATTAAATTGATATTTGTTGCCAAATATAATAAACTTTTATAATAATATATTTAGTAGTTTAATTTGTTTTTTACAGTGCACACTGGTTTTTGGCTGTTGTTTGTTTCCCTGGTTTGGAAAAGCCAAAACATGAACCTAATCCTCATTACCATGAAAATGCAGTCACTCCATAATGTTCACCTGCAGAAGACAGTTGTATTTCTTCTCCTTCAGCCAGTGAAATGGACAGTTGTTCACAAAATTCTTCTGCCAAGCCTGTGATTAAGAAGATGCTAAACAAAAAGCATTGCGTAGCTGTAGTTGATGCAAGTGCTGGGCAGGAAGAAAGTGACCCTCGTTATCGGAAAAACATATACAATGTGAAATGTAGTATGAAGAAAATAAATCACGCTGCAAGTGAAAATGACGAATTGAATAAAGGAGAATCTTCATGCCAGAAAACTGCTGATAGGACTAAAAATGAAAATGGTCTACAGAGTGAAAGTTTAAGTTCTATGCATCATACAGGTATGTATTTAAATGTTTGGAAATAATAAAAATAATTGGATTTTTTTAATTTTTAAAAGATTTTTGCTATAGAGTGTGTATGCTTACCTGAGAGAGAGAGGAGGAAATCACCCCTATCCCCAGGGGATGATCACACCCCAATTCCCTTTCCTCCATTCTCTGCTCAGGATTTTGGGCACTCACATAAGTGCCTGGAATGTTTTTCAAGCGACTGGGTCCAAGACTCAAATCACGTAGTCAGCTATGTGAGAGGATACAGCCCCTAAACCACCATACCATCTTCTCTCCCAGAGAATAATTTCCTTTTTTTTTTTTTTTTTTGTCCTGCTATATGGTGCATGGATTTGTAGGAGAGACAGAGAGGGAAAGTGAGAATTCACCCCCTGGGGGATGGCCACATCACAATTCCTTCACCTTTGTTCTCCTCTCAGGATTGTGAGCACACATGCACATGCATCTGGCATGATTTTCAAGCCACCAGGTGTCCAGGATTCAAACTACTATTGATCCTGTGGGAGTTCAGTGCCTTAACCATAACTTCACCTGCTGGCCCCAGAATAATTTGATTTTTAATAAACAGGCTTCAAATATTAATCCTGTTTTAGAGGATTAAGCAGTTGGTTTATTTCTTCCATGGAAGAGAGAGAGAGAGCTCCCCAACCCCCAAGATCCTTTCCTAGTACACAGCAGGTACAGGGAGGCTTGCAGGTACAGGGAGACTTTCAGATACAAACCAGGACCTATCCCCTGGTATCCAATTTCATTTTGCCCTGAAGACTTGAAAATTGCACCACAAAGTGTATGCATGTGTGCTTGCCCAAAATTCTTCCAGGTTGGTAAAATAAAGAAGAAAAGAAACTGAAGTATGACTGGTATGTGCACATGCCAGAGAGACTTTTAAGGGGACATCAACCCCCCACCACCACCACCAAGGGAAAGGCCATGCCACACCACAATCCCTTCTTCTCCATTTTTCTCTTGGGATTTTGGCCATGCATGTACACTTGCCTAGTGTGATTTTCAAGCCACCAGGCCAGGACTCAAACTGTGCAGTTAGCCATGTGGGATCCAGCTACCTTAATCTCAGTGCCACCTGCTAGCCCTGCACTCTGGCAATTTAAAGAAAGAACAAGAACTTAAAATAGTTTTTGTTGTCTGAGACTGTAGTCGACAAAATTTAAATAATGATTTAGACAGTTTTAACATTATTTAGCTATCAGACACATATAGTCAAATACTAATAGTGTCAGATACGTGCTGTAATAAATAGAATTTTATCTTACCTCAGAGATTAGGTTTTTAAGGCAAAAGGTAGAAAAATAAGAATGTGTAGTGTCTTACCTTCATTGGCTATTTTTTTCAATTTGGCATTGCATGAAATAGCTGACGTGCCATAGTATATGAAAATGTGTGTTTAAGCTCTAGAATCAGAGTCATTGACTTCAGATAGTCTCACTATATGAAAAGCTCTCAGGACTTAAATTGAGAAAACAGATGAGTGACTTCTCACATCTCAGTTTACTCCAGGTTATGTGTTTATTAAGTGAAATAATGGAAGAAATTGACTGCATCGTTTAAATTATTTTTCTTCCATTTTTGAAATGCCCATATAGTTTAGTTTGTGTTAAGGTAGATAGTTGACTAGTTTCCATAAATAACAATGAATTTGCTTCTAGAAATAACCTGATAATAATTGATTAATTCTGACTTGCCTGAGGATTCAGACAGATTTTATTCAAATGTAGGTATTTTAGTTCTAAACAAACATAAAAATACAGATTTTTTTAAAAAGGTAAGGGGGCTACCAGGCGACATGGTGATTAAGCCACTGGACTTCCACGTGGTCAACCACAGTTTGAGTCCTGGACATGGTGACTTGCTTTCTCACTTCCCCTCTCTCTCTCTCTCTCTCTCTCTCTCTCTCTCTCTGTCTCTGGTGCATTGAAAGGTAATAATAATAAATAAAACTAAATAATTTTTAAATAAAGGAAATGAAACAGGTTATTTGCATGACAGAAGGATTTATAGCAGTGCTTTATTAGTGATTTTAAATAGTATGTTTGTAAACAAACAGATTTATATCTTTACAGCAGTACATCTTGTTTTTCTTTCTTCCTTTCCCGTCTTGTTAATATTCTTAACCTTATTCTAATATATACTAAAATAAAATGTACCTTATCTAAAAACACAAAAAATAATGCTTTTAAATGTTTTGAAATAGGCTGTTCTGTAGTAAACAATTATGGTATGTACAATAGTAAAATTCCTGACTCCATTTTCATGTAAATCTTGTGTTTATTTGAAACATTTTGTATGATTAGCTTTTTTCAGCAAAATAGTAGATGTTTAAGGATTTTGATTCTTGGAACCTTCAACAGTACTTATTTTAATGTTTTCCTGTGATGATTTATTCTTGAACTACAGTCGCCTTGTATGGTTTTAGTTTATTAAAAACTCTATAAATCTAACCAAACACTGATAAAAATATAGAGAGTTGGAAGAACTCAGCCATGACTACCATCCTGACATGATGATTATTTTTCTTTTCATATTCTTGTTTTTCCTTTGTTTGTCTAAAAGCAAGCCTATTTAATTTTAATGCTTATTTTTTTCTCCATATTATTTTCCATATTTTCTTGTTTCAATTTTTAAATTATATATTATTTTCTTTTATGTTCTGTAATTTGCTAGCTTCCTGTTATTGGGTATTTAAGTTATTTTTAGAATGTTGTAGCATCCATTATTAGTTACAGATATCTGGCATACTTAGCCCCAAAATACTTAATATATACATGCATATAGATAAGTATATGCATATTTAATTATATAACTAATACTTGGCTTTTTATAATTTATATTATACAATAATATTCGTATATATTTATAAGGTACAGTATGGCTTTTCAAGACATGTATAAATTGTGTAATGATCAAATAGGGCAATAAACCATCTCAAACATTTATTATTTGTGTTGTGCATATTGGAATTCCACTCTTCTGGCTATTTTGGAGTATACATTGAATTGTCTCCAAACTTTGTTACTCTGCTGTGCCATTGTACTCTAGAACTTAGGCCACTTGTCTACCTGCAATATTATTATCTATTAACCAAGTTCTCCCGTCTAACCCATCCCTCTTCCCTTCCTAGCTTCTATTATTGTTGAATCTTTTAGCTTCCACTAATGAGAGAGAATCACAGAGTTTTTGTCCTTCAGTGCCTGATTTATATCATTTAGTATTATTGCCTTCAGATTTGTCCATGTTGCCTTAAATGACTGGATTTTTCTCCTTTTTTTGTTTTTGTTTTTGTTTTTATAGCTGAGTAATCCTGTGTGTGTACACCACATTTTATTTATCCATTTATTTGTTGTTGGTTAGGTTGATTGCATTTCTCAGCTATTATAATAACATGACAATAAACATGGGAGTGCTGATCTCTATGACATACTGATTTTCCTTTCCCTTGGATAGTAGTAGGATTACTGGATTATAGATTTTCAGTTTCTTCAGGAACCTCAATACTGTTCTCCCAATCAGCTGTACTAATTTAGCTGTACTATTTCCACAACTACCCAGCACTTTTTTTTTCTTTGTTATTGTTTTGTTTTTGATAATAGTCATTTTTAAGTTGGGTAAGATGATAGCTCATTGTGGTTTGGTTTGCATTTCCTGGTGATTATTGATGTTGAGCTTTTTCTAGTGTGCTTGTTGTCCATTCATGTTTTCTTTTAAGAAGTATTCAGATTCCCTTTTAGTTGCTTTTGTTTTGTTTATAATTTTGAATGTGCTCACCAAAGACAAAGTGAGAAAGACAGAAAAAAAGTGAGAAAGCACCCTCAGGCAGATGGCCGTTGCACTTCTCCTTCACTCTCCTCTTGGGGTCCTGGGCATGCATACACACACACACGTACCTGGTATGTTTTTCAAGCTGCCAAGTCTGGGATTTTAACCACACAGTTGGCCATGTGGGATCCAACCACCTTAACCCTCACACTGCCAGCTAGCTTAAGATTGCCCTTTAAAAAAAAAATTTTTTTTATTAAAATTTATTTATTATTATTATTTTCCAGTTTGATCAGAGAGAGGGAGAAAGTGAGAAAGCAAGTCACCAAGTTTGGGACTTGAACCATGGTCAGCCATGTGGAAGTCTAGCACCTTTAACCACCACGTTACCTGCTGGCCCCAAGATCGCCCATTTTTTAATCATGTTATTTGGTATTTTTGTTGGTGAACTATTGAAGTATCTTATATATTCTGGTTATTAATCTCTTCTCAGATATGTGTCTTGCAAGTATATTTTCCCATTGTGTAGATTGTCTTTTCACCCTTTTGATTGTTTTCTTTGCTGTGCAGAAGCTTTAGAGCTTGATATAATTGTATTTGTCAATTTTTATTGTGCTACCCATCCTTCTGAAGTCTTATTTTAAAACTCTTTGCCTAGAGCAATGTCTTGAAGCATTTCTTCTGTGTTTTCTTCTAGTAATTTCATGGTTTCAGGTTTTATGTTTAAACTTTAATCCATTTTGAGTTTGTTTTTGTATATAGGAGAGAGAGGAGTTGAGCATCTTCAGATGGATTTCCAGTTTCACCTGCAGCATTTGTTCACAAGACCAATTTTTCCCCATTGGATGTTTATGAGACATCTGTCAAAAATCAGCTGGCTCATTTCCTTTTATAAATCTGAACTCCTAATCTTACTGTTGATACCACATTGCTAAGCACTATGGGGGAGAGATTTTATCACAGAATGACCAGAAACAACCGTAGAGGCACAAGAAACATGAGAAACCAAGAAAGTATCTTTCCCCTAAGGGAAAAGAACAATACTTCATCATCCACAGACAGTACAGTAGAATTCATGGAAATGTCTGATAGAGACTTCAGAATATTCATAGTGACAAAACTAAATGAGATGCAAGAGGTAAGATGATGAACTGCAGAAGATACAGGAGAAAAGAGAACGAATTCCAGGAGGTGTTGAAGTTCTTTCATGATCTGAAAGAGGAAAACACATACCATAAAAAAGAATCATTTGGAGGGACCAGCAGTTAGCGTAATGGCTATGTCGCTGGACTCCCATGTAGCTGACCATGGTTCAGTCCCATACCGGTGACTTAAACTCACACTGGGTGTGTGTGCGTGCGCGTACCCAGGATCCCAAGAGGAGAATGGAGGAGAAGGGATTGCGGCATGGCCATCCCCCCCGGGGGGTGATCTCTCACTTTCTATCTTTCTTTCTCTTTCTGGCGAGCGTACGCGCCCTATAACAAAAACCTCTCCAAAAAAAAAAAGAATCAAATGGAGCTATTTAGAGGTGAAGGCTGCCCTTCAGGAAATCAAAACGTCCTTCTAAAGTATTAAAAGCAGATTAGCCCATGCATAAAATTGAATCTCAGATGTTGGAAGGCAAAACCTTTGATACAGAAAAAACAACCAAAAAAGCTGAGAAAATAATTTAAAAAATGAGAATACTATACGAGAAATACTAGACAGCATTAAGTGCCCAAACATCCGGATAATTGGTATCCCAGAAGGTGAGGGAACTAATAAGGGCATTGGTAATCTATTCCATGAAATCTTGGAAGAAAACTTTCCAAATCTAGAGAG